AAAAAAAAAAAAAAAAGGTCAAAGGAAGACAGCAGAATCCAGTTATTGCTACTTTCAATCTAGTGTTCTAGGTTTTTTTTTTTTTAAACTGATACCATTTTTTGTTGACATAAAGAATCCTTATTCTACCCACCTCTCTATAATTTTCATACACATGCATTCAGAAAAACAATAATACATCGATCACTGCAGCCCTCAACATGCAACCTTTCACTATTATATCATTAATATTTGGGGGATGGGGGTATGGAAAGAAGTGAAAAGCTGGATCAAGAAATTGGGCTGGGGTAGCCCAGGGCTGTACAACTCCCTTGCTCTCAGAGTTGTATACCTGGGCCTCTAGCCCCTGCAAAGATTAGCTGCCTGGAATCTACCAGCCAGTAGCCCTTGGAAATAGGCTCTGGGTTGCCCTCACTGCCACTTCTCAGACTCTTCAAGGGAGGAGCAGATTCTCAAAAGGAATATCTAAATAGCTCAGTGTTACCTATTTTTCCCACATGATCAGTCGCTATAAAAGGAAAAATGAGAATACCAGTGATAAACCAAACTGCCTCTCTTTTGAATTACTGTACTTAAACAACTAAACTACTTCAAGATAAAAAAATGGGTCGTGGTGGGAGTTTGATTTGTACCACTGAGAACACTCCAAGGAACTTAAATAAATATTGTCATTTTCTAAATGATACTTGATTACAGAAAAAAAAGAATCCTTCTGCCTGAAGCTTTGTAAGTGACAAAATCTTAAGTGTGTTTACATTTCTTCAAGTGATACATTTATATCTTATTTTGTAAATTATATCATAACATCACAATTAAAAGGAAAGGAGGAGGTTAAGAGAATTTTCCATATATTGAGGTTTTGGGTTTGTTTGTTTSCAAATCAGCAATCTCATTTCAGAAACAAGCAATATCAGTACCTCTGAGGTACTAAAGCATAAATCTGACAATGCATTTAATTATATTTAGTTATTAAAAAATAGTCTTTAATTTGCTCTTTTTACCCTTTTTATTGAAGAARCAGCTTTTTTTATGGCAGATATTCACTTCTTACAAGAACTTAAATCCATTTACAGCTTTCTTGTCATTAGAGCCACCAGAAGGCATGGCTAAACCTGAAACTAAAGGTTAAACCAAATTTAAACGTTAAAGGAAAGCACTAAGCGATTCTATGTCAATTTATGGATGAATATTTATGTATACTTTTCCTTCCTAAATAAAGGCCTACACTGTTCCTGCAGATTTGTTTTTTTGGTTTTGTTTTCAAACCAATATGATGCAAAGATGATGATGATGATGATGATGATGATGATGATGATKATTTTGGTACTAGGGATTGAAACTAAGGGTACTCTACAACTGAGTTATATCCCCAATCCTTTTTATTTTATATTGAGACAGGGTCTCACTAAGTTGCTGAGGCTGGCCTCAAACTTGTGATCCTCCTACCTCAACCTCCCCAGTTGCTGGGATTATAGGGTTTAATATTTTTTTAATATTTTTTTGTACTTTTTTTTTTTTTCCCAGTGCTGGGGATCATGCTAGGCAAACATACTACCACTGAGTCACATGCCCAGTACCAAATAGTTTAATTTATTTTTTTTTTCTTTCTGTACTGGGAGTTGAATCTGGGTACATTCTACCGCTGAGCAACATCACCAATCTTTTTTTATTTTTTACTTTGATATGGGCCTTGTAGGGCTGGGCATGTAGCTCAATGGTAGAGCACTTGTCTGCATGCCCAAGGCCCCGGGTTCAATCTCCAAGAGCACTAAATTGAGGGAGGGGAGGGGAGGGAAAGGAAGAGGAGGAGAAGGCTTCACTAAATTGCCTAAACTGGCTCTAAACTTAAGATCCACCTTCCTGACTCAGTCTCCAGAGTAGCTGGGATTAAAAATATGTGCCACCATACCTGGCTAAGTGTTGTGTAAGCCTCAAGACCTCCCTCTTCTAGGAACTGGGATACAGCTCAGTTGGTAGAGTGCTTGCCTTGCCCTGGGTTCAATCCCTAGCACCAAAAAAAAAAAAAAAAAAAAAAAAAGACCTCCCTCATCTATCAAATGGCCTTCTTTGGCCATCTTTCTGAAACAGTACTGAACTGGAAGTTTAAAAAAAAAAAAGGAGTTCTCCTCTGATTACACCACTTATGAGTCATGTGAACCTGTACAAATCATTTCACTTTTTTTTTTTAGATGTGTAGACCTTTATTTTATTTATTTACTTATATGTGGTGCTGAGAATCGAACCCAGTGCCTCACACATGCTAGGCAAGCGCTCTACCACTGAGCCACAGCCTCAGCCCCAAATCATTTCACTTTTAAAAAAAATTTTTTTAGTTGTAGTTGGATACAGTACCTTTATCTTATTCATTCACTCAATCATTCATTTATTTATTTATTTTTAAGTGGTGCTGAGGATCTAACACACTGCCTCACACATGCTAGGCAAGTGCCTTATAGCTGAGCCACAACCCCAAACCAAATCATTTCACTTTTTAAGTCCCAGTTTTCATGTCTCTGCCTGCTTTCTGTGTTTTTGTGAAGATTGCATATAACATATATGCAAGGTACCAACAGTTACTGACATATGGTCAGTGTTCCACAAAGGAATGAATCTACAACCTTTTTGTGACCCAACCATGGACATCCATCCTGATTCCCTTTTAATAAAATTTAATGACTTGAGGGGCTGGGGATGTGGCTCAAGCGGTAGCGCGCTAGCCTGGCATGCGTGTGGCCMGGGTTCGATCCTCAGCACCACATACAAACAAAGATGTTGTGTCTGCCGAAAACTAAAAAATAAATATTAAAAAAATTCTCTCTCTCTCTCTCTCTCTCTCCTCTCTCTCTTTAAAAAAAATTAAAAAATAAAATTTAATGACTTGAAATAAAATTTGAGGAAATTTGACTTAAATTTATTCATTTATTTAGATGCTGGGGATTGAACCCAGGACCTCCCACATGCTAAACAAGCAGTCTCCCACCAAGTTACACCCCTAGCCTGACCATAAATTTAACACCAATTTCTAATAAATAAGTTCAAGGATAAGAATGCATCTATAGATATGAAACCTATAATGCAACTTAGAAAGGTAACCGAGGAAACAGAATTTACAATTTACTTACTATTATGACCTAGACTCAGACTAAAGAGAATACTTAACTCAGCTAGTTTTGTTTGTTTGCAGTACTGGGGACGGAAGCCAGAGCCTCCTGCACGCCAGTTATTTATTACTGAGCTACATCACTGTTCCTTTTTCAAAAAGTTGATTTAAGACAGTGTCTTGCTAAATTGCCTGGGCTGTGCTTGAACTAGTGATCCTCCCGCCTCAGCTTTCAGAGTAGCTGGGATTACAGGTATGCACCAACAACTCTACTGGCTAAAAGTATTTTCCTATTGTCAGTTCACTTTGTTTCTCAATTTCTTTTCTGTTTCTTACTTTGTGTATTATCATACTATGTCCATTTTAAAAAATGTTACATTAAGGGCAAAAAATAGGAGTTTTCTTGAATTAATCTATCTACATTAAAAAAAAAAAACTGGTATAGTGCACTGTAGCACAATACATATTCAAATGACTTTTGGTTTCCATGGACACTATTGTGGACAATTTCCCTGCTTCCTGATATAGTCTCCCATCTAAAATCTAAGATATAGAAAGAAATTGGGGTCATCAAATAATAAAGGAGTATCTCATATCACATTTACAAAGCAGATAACTTGGGCTGGGGATGTGGCTCAAGCGGTAGCGCCCTCGCCTGGCATGCGTGCGGCCCAGGTTCGATCCTCAGCACCACATACAAATAAAGATGTTGTGGCCGCCAAAAACTAAAAAATAAATATTAAAAATTCTCTCTCTCTCTCTCGCTCTCTCTTTAAAAAAAAAAAGCAGATAACTTGAATGTGGGAATACATGATTACAAACAAATCAAAATAGTAATTTCATTAGCTGCATACCTCTCAATTAGAAAAAATGAACAAGTACAAAGAAAAAAAAGAGATGTTTCTAAAAATTCTCTACAAGTAATGCCGTGCCACAGGGTGATTGGCCAAAATGGATTGCCACCTATTAAATACTCAAATGAAGGGAGAACAAGGGTTGTTTCATGGGAATGTCTAAAGAATGTGGAATGTTCTAAACATGAACTATCTAGAGAACAAAGCAAAATACACACAAGTTCCTAGAAACATGGAATAGACAGAAAGCTGAGAAGTTGATTCAAAATAATAGACCAACAGAGTAAAATCGGGAGGAAGAGTTTGTATGTGTGTTTGGGGTGGTGTGGGGGGGGGTTGTTACCAGGGACTGAATCCAGAGTGCTTTACCACTTTTTATTTATTTTGAAACAA